TCTTATCAATCGACACGTGCATTTATTGACTGTATCCGGTTTGAAAGAAAAAAAAACGGTATCGACTGATTAGTAATCTTAATATATATATAGTGTGAAAAGAGAGCACCCCAGACTGATCTGACTTCCGTCATGAAAAGCATGCCGTCGATTCCTTCCTTCACGCCATAGTCACATCCGAACGGATGTAAGTGTGTATGCACGGCATACGTTTTCTTACCTGCTGTTGGAATTCCAACGGAATCTGATGATGATGATGATGATTTTGATTCTGTACTACTTGTTTCATTTAATGATAATTGTTGAAAATGTTGTCGACATAAAATTTCATTTTGTCTATGGATATAATATTCATCACCCGATGTAAGTAAACGATCACAATGATCACAACGAAAACAATCTGTATGAAATCTTCGATAAAATGTTGTACGAATAAATAAATCATTTTTAGAAAATGATTGATGACATTTGGCACATTTAGATACAAACAATCTAATTGAAAAAAAGACAAAGAAAAAGAGATATAATTGCATGTTTATCAATAGAATTAATTCTACTAAGTGAAATCTCTGCATGCACCATTGTATTGTTCTCACTCGGATGCAAGCTGTTCAAGCGAGAGTCAGAAAAAAAGTCAAACCGGTCAAGTAAATAATTCATTCATAGTTAACTCTGACAAAATGCCGTTTATAAAAGAAATGTACCGTATATAATCAAATTTGCAAAAAGTTTTTCCATCAAGAACAAAACATGTTGTAGTTTCATCTAAATATTGTCCACATTCATAACATTTTAAACATTGTATATGCCATTCAAGATCAGGTGCAACTTTTAATAAATATTGATCATATATTTGACAACTACAACCAGCACATATTGATGGATATTTTGTATCTTTTAAAAAGAAAAAGAAAACAAGAAAAGAAAAATAAGTAATTTTTTTTTGTTTCTTGTCGTTTACCTGATGGATAATCAGTGTAACCATTATCTTGATAATGATGCGGTAAATAACGAGATAATTTAAAACTATTCTTCATAATGTTGATGATCTATGGAAAAGTATAGAGTATCCGTTAGATCTTTTTTCTATTAATATATGAATCACCGACAAAATAAATCTATATTAGTGAGTGTGTTAGTTTCTCTCGTTTCTTTTTTTTTTTTGCACAATAATAAAAAAAAATTCTAAGAATAGAAAAAAGGAAAAGAAGCTTTTTCTTTTTTTCTCGTTTTTTTCCTAGAGCTTGCAGACATTCTAAAGGGGAGGAGGAGAGTGGTTATTATTATTATTATTCTTTTCCCGTTTCCTGTTGGTTGAGCGGACCGTTTTTTCATTGGTTGATCGCTCGAAAGAACACGCATAGACAAACAACAAAACGATTTTTTTTCTTCTCTTAGCAAGCGACCAAACGATGAACATAAATGAAAGAAACAGAAAAAAGAAAAAGAAGACTTTTTTTTCCGTTTTATCGTATATTAACTATCACGTTCAATCTTGAAGAAGTTGATGGTTGAGGTTAAATTGACAAGAGACAACTATGTTTATCCTTCAAATGGATTTTAACCTACATATACATATAGTGTATGTGTGTGTGATTAGTTCAATATACAATATTAAGATAGACGCTGAGCTATTATCTTTGAATGAGAATCGAAAAGCAATTATTTCATTTAGACAAGAGTACATATAAACAAAATATATGCTCTTAAAAGTTCTCTTTCTTCAATGATAGGTGCATTAAATGACATATGGTCAATGTTAGTTTTGCACCTTGTATATAAAAAGAATAAAAACAAAACAAAATGCTGAACATTCCTTCTCATTTCTTTTTTTAGATCGCTGTTGATGAAGAAAAAAGAAGAAGACCAAATAATTAATTGACAGCATCTTTATATTCGAAAAAAAAATGTTTATATATTTAAACAACCGTATCATTGTTTGTATTTGACTTATCCAAGCGAATATTTGAGTCTGCAAAACGAGTAGAATATTATGGCGGCTCCGCCTTTACATCTGGATAGAACGACAGAGCCAAAAAAAAAAAGAAAGAAACAAAGCTTTCATCTCATTGCCCTAAGGCTGAACGTCATCGAATATTGTACTTGATGTATATTCGAAAAGTGCTAGTCGTTTTGAAGCTCCAGGGTACTCTGATCATCATCATCATCAAGCTCCATTAACACGTCCGAGCATTTCCTTTTACTCCTTATCTATAAACAAAAGAAGCAAAGATTGATTTAATCAAATATAAGATGTAAAGAAAGAGAAAGTGGATGTGACATCATATCTTTAGCCCTGATGTCTTTATTAAATCCTGTTGATACTTGTCTTTTTTTTTTTTGGCTTTTGTAATGGACTCATGCATATCGAAGGATATGTCTTTATATTTTAACTATCAAATACAATAAATAACATTGAACAGAGATCATATTTCAATATGATTGACCATCTGTAAGCTTGTGTGACATTGACAATCATGAGATGTGACTTATGATATGTTCAAGAGAAAGTTGAACATACTCTACTAATCTGTCGTTCAGTAGGTAGAACACACAAAAAAGCAGACAATGAGTGAGTAGACCGAATGCCATTACAGACTTTCTTTCTGGCGACCAGATGACAAGCTACTGCTTGTCCATTTATTTGCCTTAAGGCATACTTTCAAGCAGAGTACAACATATAATGACAGTGAAATGATTGTTATAAGTCGTTCTTTTCACTTCTACGATTGAAATCTATAGACTTCTCTAATGGATGATAATTAGTATTAGTTTACTCATCATCAATGACGATAACATTCACTTATTCAAATAGATTGTACACAAGATAAAAGATTTAAAAAAAAAAAACAAAAAAACAGTTTTTTTTTTCTTTTTTGTGTTTTGCGTATTTTTTTTATATGCATAGGAGATGAAAAAAAAACCATGCATGCACTCTTGCATGTTTCAATCCTATTAGATAAATGTGTGAAAATCGAATGTTGATGAGGGGTGGGCAAGTTGGAAACAAAAAAAACGTCGTTGTCGTCTCTCTCACATACTAATTATTATGTGAGAAGAACCGTATGGCACCAAAAGCAATTAACTTATGTGCATATTTTGATTATTGATGCAATAAAACAATGACTATTTAGTAAATATGCTGAGTTTTTAATTTGTAACTAGATTGTGTGCATGTGAGAATAAGGCGGAGCTGAAACAAGTAATCAGGTAAATGAGAGAAAGTTATTGAAGAAAATTAAAAAGAAAGTAGACAATAATAAAGAAATTTGACAAGTGTGATTACAATTAATGAATGGAGAAAAATGAAACGTACAAAGATTATTATCCATAGATTAAATATGTTTTTTAAAGTTTGCTTAATAATAATCACAAAGTAAAAAAGTGATTAAAATCCTATGTTTAGCTTCTTTGTCACTATTAAGTTATTCGCTTTTATTGTTTCAAAGTTTTCGTAAAAAAGCAATATCATAAGAGTATGATAATGGATTAGATGATATACTTAAACGACTGTCCATTTTACAATATCAATAAATACCTGAAAAAAAATAAATCGAAATAAAGATTTTACAGTCATATCAATACTTAAAATTTTTTTTTAAATGTAAGATTTCGTATTCCCATATTTAAAACTATTAGAATCAAGAAAGAAAATTTTTTTACTAGTGCCATAGTTAGAGTTTTCTTTCTATGTCATGTCTATGAATATTTCGAGTTATTGTCTAAAAAGTGCTTCAGATTCTTTTAGTTCGATCTTCGTTACATCACTAATATTGAAAATCATTCTTAATTGATTAAAATGCACGTTTCCCTATTTAAATGTTATTGTGAATTTTTACAAAAATTATGTCATTAACAAAACTACTTAACTATAATTAACTGAAAAGAATAAACGATATTAAAAAAGTATTGGCAAGGTCGTTTTTTTTTTAAGTAAAAATTAAATAATCATAAACTAAATTACAGTTTACAGACGGATACACATCGATATTACTGACAGGTGAATATCCTCAACAGTCGGATACCGTTTGACCTAATATTATGATTATGATTAGATCTGTGTGACACTGAGAAAAATTTAAAAGAATTCAGGTTCATAGCTTTCCAGTAAAGATTTATGGCTATTTTACTGGATTCTTTTGTGTTAGAGCAAGGCATTTGGAAAAATGAAGAATTTTTCCCTGAAATTTTGCGTATAGATAAAGCTGATAATAATAATTACAAACTTCTGACAGGTTCAAAGAATACGAACGTGTGCATCTTACTATAGAAAACTGTTATTTTAGCTCTGCGCCTATAGGCAACATTTTAGGATAAAATTTTTCGTTTTGATACTTTCGGAAATGCCTTGTTCTAGCAATAGGATGCAGTGAAAACAGTCATAATTTTTCATCCGTAAGTCATGCATTCAAATCTTTTTAAATTGTTCTTAGTATCGCAGACGCATATTAGCAGTTATAATATCAAGTTATACGACATCCGATAGTTGAGGATGTTTCTTCGTGGGAGTATTTTCAAATTACCTCTCAAATTAAAGTGTTTCATCTTTTTTTTTTGCTTTACCTATAGATCATACCACTACTAGTTCTAATGTTAATCTAAAATTTACCCGAAACTAAATCTTATAGTTTCTTTTTTGCAACTCTCTTATCTTAAAATACAAAAAGAATTTGTTTTCACTGAATCTTTTAGAATATGATAAGTATCATGAGATTTATTTCTTGGGAAAATATAAACTCAAACGAAAATTATCAGTAGGAAGAATTTCCTCGTAATTCAATGTCATTAGCTGACCTCTATTGAATAATAAATCAATGGTTAAAATTGAACCAATTCGAAAGAATGTTTCTTTGTGTCAAAAAAAATCCTTTTATGATTGCTTCAATCACGATAAAGCATTTCAATGTCAATAAAAGACAAAAAGAGAAATATTTACCTAACTAAATTACATCAATAACTATATGTTTCTATTTGTTTTTTATTTTGGTCATTTGATATAGATGATTCCCGTCCGTCCAGCTAAACGTTTTCAGTCAGCTGCTCATGTTAAACCTGATCGACCAAGAAAAGATCTTTTAAAAGGTCAATTTTTATTTGCACCTGATATATCTATACCTGAAAATGATGTTTTACCAACTCCTATAACTGATAAGTAATAAGAATAATTTTTGTTGTTTAATTTTAAAAATTAATTTCATTTTTTTGTCTTTATTTTTAGTGAAAAATCTTTAATATTAGCAAAAAAACTTTTAAACGAAGAAATCTTATCATCATTACGTCGAAGTAAACGAATAGGTATAACTAAATATAAATCTGCAACATCATTTGATTCATTTCTTGAAAGTCAATGTGAAGATGGTATAGAAGCACGTGATACTGGAACGATTAGAGGACGTGGAGTATTTGCAACAAAAAAATTTTATCGTAATGATTATATTGTTGAATATGCTGGAGAATTATTAACACAAAATGAAGCCAAACATAGAGAAAATTTATATGGAAGAAATCATAAAATTGGTTGTTATATGTATTACTTTAAATGGGGAGAAAAAATTTTTTGTGTTGATGCAACTGAAGAAACTAATCGGCTTGGTTAGTACAACATTTATTTTTATATTAAAACACGTGTATGCAATATTCATCATATGAATTTAATAAAGAATTTTAATCTGTTATCATGTAGATATTCTAATGGTTTATGAATACTTCGAAAAGAATTCGGGCCCATAGCTTATTACTATCAACATATTACATTTTTACGATATTACTTCAATACAATGTCATGATTTCCATTCGTAATACGCGCAGAACTGATTTTCAAATTTCGACTTGAAATTTTGCTTAGACATGAGTTTTAATGAGAAAGGTGTATTATAAAAGTTTCCAATGTTTTTTACATTGCTTATATGCATCCACAGAGTCGATGTTCTTATTCCAGGACAGAAACAGATCATTTATTTTCTTGAGGTGAATCACTGTATTGCATTGACTAATAATATTCAAAGTAACTTTAGCGAACTAAATTAATAATACTTCAAAAAAAGTATTTATGTTATCTATATATAGAAAATCAATTCATTTATATTTAGAAAAAAAATAAAAGTCTTTTTTTGTTTTGTTTTAGGTCGTCTTATAAATCATAGTCGAAAAAATAGCAATTGTCAACCAAAAGTTTTTATTATACGAGATCAACCGCGTCTTGTATTGGTTGCTTTACGTGAAATTGAGATAGGTGAAGAACTTTATTATGATTATGGTGAACGTCGTAAAGAGATTGTTGAAGCATTTCCTTGGCTTAATGAATAGTTTTATTTAATTAGTTACGTAGTTTCTATCGAATAGATTTGTATGATCTAAAAAAAATTCAAATCAAAATTTCATCTCTTCTAATGATATTTTCTTCTGATGTATACACACATATAGTTGATACTAGTCATATTTTTTGTGTGTTATTGTTTGTTTTTTCTTCCTGCTATTGCTTCTTCTTTCTATGTACATACAACATAATAAATACAGATGAGTTTTTTTTTCTGGGAGTGAACATGTTTAGTTTTCTTATTTATTTACGAAATTATTGACGACGTAAAACATAAGATGCAATAGGTTCAGCAATATATAATGGTAAAAAACTCATTGTATATTGAAAAACACCAGTAAATGCAGGAAAAACAATTTCAGTTTGATTTCGACGAAGACCATGAAATATTATCTGCGCAGATTTATCTGTTGATATAGCATGCTCAACCGATCGAGGATAAGAACCAATAAGCATTGGTGTTATAACAGGTCCTGGTGAAATTATATTAACAGCTATATTATCTTTAGCTAATAATCGTCGAAGATCAAGACCAAATGAAAGAACACATTGTTTTGTAGCACCATAAATCGGAGACATAAATGGTGCATAAGCTGCTTGGGATGATACAATAGCTATTTGTTTAACACCTTTGAGTTCAATTAATGGCATAACTGTATTTATAACACCATTGATATTAATATTAAATGTATCACGAACTGCTTTATCGAATGTATTTGTTAATGCATATTGACGAAATGAAATACCAGCATTAGCAAAAAGAATATCGACTTGACCATATGTTCGATGAATATCAAACAGAATACGTTTCATTTCATCGGCATCAGTTACATCACAAGGATATATTAACAATTTCTTTTGATCATTAGAATTAAAACGACTTTTTACTAATTCAAGTTTTTCTTTACTTCGACTTATCATAATAATTGTTTGACATGATGGACAATTTTTAGAATAATATTCTACAAGACTTTCACCAATACCTGTATATACAAAATAAAACTTCTAAAATTTTTGTATATATACTTGCACATATAAACAAACCTTGTGAAGCTCCTGTTACAACAATAATTCGGGGATTTTGTGGTGCCTGAATATTATCCCATTCATTTTGTTTATTGTTTAAAAAGAATTTTATAATAAACCATAATAAATAAAAAGGATATTGAAGAAACCAAGCTAGAACTTTTAATCGTAAATTATCATCCCAAGATAACATTATTAAATTTTCTTTTTGTATTCAGAAAGAAAGAAAAAAAAAAGAAGTTATTTAATATGTTGTTACACCATAGATGACTCAAACATTGATAACAAATCCTACTTGAACACAATCTATTTAATTTAGAGTTCGAATCAATCTATCCTATGTAATAATTTAAGTGTCCAAAAAGAAAACTGTAAATTAAGTTTAACATTCTCTATTTATAGGCAAATTTATGTTTTGCTTATGCTACTTTCTAGAATTTCCATTGGAATAATATTCTTGACAGAGAATGATAACCATATGTTGATATTATGTTTCTTTTTTCAGTTTTCAACAATATCATATTAGAAAAAAACCAATCAAACAAACAAACATATTGATATATATATTACATGAATATATTCAGAGGAAAAATATACAAAAAAATAGATGTCACTAATAAGTAGTGCATTTGTTATTAATTTAAACAAATAAAAAACAATTATAGAAGCCATCTGACTCTGATGATACCATATATCATAAAGTATCTGTAAAGTGGTTAAATTCATCCATCGAAGATAATCACACATTATGCTTTGTCAACGTGCAAGTTTGACTTCGCATTCATTTCATATCACTATAATGATCATTCAGTTATTTTTGATCCATATGTATCTTTTTACAATCTTTATTTTTATGGCTTTTGTCTTGTTTTATCCTCGTTGATATCTTTTATTTCGTACATT